ATATTTCACTATGAGTCATCTTGCACAATTTGATTTTCTACACATGTATATGTTTGACTGATTACTACTTAAACTTTTGGGTCTTTGAGGGGGAATAGAGAATCATCCTTTTTAAAATGAAATAGAAGTTATACTTGAAGTGTCAATGAAGTGAATAATTGGGCAAGAATCAGGGCTCTAAGCATCAAATAATTCTTGTTAGCAGGGGGTCTTCATAGAGAGTTTTATTATTTGGCTGGAAGTAGCTAATAAGGTAAATTGTGGTCACTGAGGTTAACAGATTGTGGCTACAAAGAAACTAAAAGCTACAAATTTTGAAATATGGTCCTAGAATTATAGAGCTGTGAGAATTGGTACACACAGAAAAATATAGATGTGCAAATATAGATCTCCAGCTAGTCTCACCAAAGCCATGTGTCATCATTATTAAACCATCGCCCAAGCCCAACTGGGATTTATTGTGCTCAAACTTACTTTGCGTTTGAAGATGATAAAATATTTGTAATTACATTTCAATTCAATGAGTTCTTGGTCATGAGTAGTTTCTGCTGTGTTCTGCCGAGGGGTCATGTAGCCGACTCCGCTGAGGTTTCTAATTTTTATTTGGAGGTTGGGGGAGGATGTAGGGGAAGTGGAAGCTGTATAGCAACCGTCGGTAAATGAAGAATAGGGGAATGAGGGCCGCATTTTCTAGACGTGCTACAGATGGAATTGGCTTCAACTTGTTTATAATCTGCTGCTAGTTTTAACAACTTGTTTCAAAGATTTTTGAAAGGACGGAGGAAAAAGTTGGAATAGAGGGCTGGGAAAGTTTGTCTCAGGAGGCAGTTGGAGTAAAACATGTACAATTTGTCAACAGAACATTACTTGTGGAGAGCTATGTCACTGTTCAGTTATGGGTTCAAGTAGACTCAGAGCAGCTTTATTAAGCTACATTATGAGTGAGAAGGAACCATTTTTTTTTCACTGCAATCTAAAAAAATTCATTCTAGTTGGATGGTAGCAAGCACCAAGGATCTTCTATTAATAAACTGGATCACTTGCTCTTATATTTGAGGTGTAAATGAATTTCTGGATTTGCTTCACATTATACCCACAGTACTGTTATGTCTGCAGGGTAATTTGGCCAGTGGTTGGATAAAATGGAAGCAGAGGTCCCATATTTCAGCTTGTCTGCTTTAGCTGGAGTACCTGTATTTATTTACATCTCAAGATCAGAATCCTTTAAGGGGAGAGCCTATTTATTGAATATAAGATATTCTTGATAATAATAGGCTAATAAAGTTTATATTCTTGGAAATAGAATGATAATATGCCCAAATCCAACCTCATCAAATAGAAACAAAGGGCTGTATTGGGGATGGGGTGAGCCAACTCTGTTTATACAGGTTTTCACATGACTTCCCTTTTAAAAAGTGCATGGAATGCATCCAAAACAAATAATGTTTTGTTAGATGAGAAGACCAAAAGGGAAATCCTAGAGAAAGGAGGATGGATGATCTTTCTTTAATGTCAAAACTGACATAAACACCCCCCTCCCCCTTTGCTCAAGATCATTTTCTCAACAAGACCCAGATTGCTGCAGTCTTTGCCTATCACCCTTTGAAGCACTTTCCTTGTTATTAGGAGTGGGGGCAGGGTTTCCTTTGAGGATTTTTACAGCAGTGAAGAGTTCCTCCTTTAAATACTTTCACATGATGAGGGAATGCCGCTTTCAAAGTGCTGTCATCGCTGTGCCTTCTCTGCCATAAGACAGTTTATTCTTGGATGAAGGTCCTTCTTAGTTTGACTGTCAATAGGACCTACCTTTCTGATGGATTCTCTTTCTATAGAGCTTCGATTTTTCTGAGAGATCTAGCAGAAGAAGTCAACATTCTCTTTTGTTACTCTTCTTGGTGAAGTTGCATGATTCTCCTTTGAAATGTGTTCCATCACGTGGGATTATAGTCTTCAACATGGCTGCCCTTGGCAGTCTCCACTGATTAAGATCTCGGTCCAATAGCGCATCTTGAAAACTGCGTTTCTTTTACAGTGCAAAGGGACACTGAACTTGGGGGAGTTTTGAAATATCTTCTTTTTAGTGTTTCTTCCAATGTTTAAATAACACCATGGTAAACAACAAATTAACTATTTAAGTGTCAACACTTTTCTGAGAAACACTGAAATCTTTTGAGAACCTCTAGTCTGTGTCACCACCTCACGCTGCTCAATTCTTGAATATAGTCTTCTGGAAAATTCTGTAAATATTGAATTCATGAAAACAAAATGTATAGCTGTATAGTTTTAATAGCTCTTTGAAAAGTCTTCACTAAAATCTTTAGTAGGCAATGATTCATAGTTAGGAAAGAATTAGAATTAAGAAACTGCAAATAGAATTAACAGTTTTCTCAATATTATTGCCTAAGGGTGACCTTCCAAGTCTTGGTGGTTGTTTTAGGTAAGAGAATAAGAAGCTACCTACGTTCCAAACTAGATTACATCATTTACCTCATTACTGTTGGACTTTCCCTTTGAACAGTTTGGTCCTCAGAAGGGGAGAGCATCAGTGTTGTTAGGATACACTCCTTGTTGGCTTCCACCTGGAGGTCCCAAGTGCAAAGGTGTAACTATCAACTAATCCAGACGTGGAAACACATTTCTTAAAACTTGCAACCTCCTTCCTGTGCGAGTGTTTACGTGAACGACCTCCCAGCCTTTTACTGAGGAAGAAAGTGGAACACAGGAAGAGAGCCCAAGACTGAAGTCAGAACACCTGGATTCTCGTTCGGGCTCTGCCACTTACTGCCTGTGTAATGTTGGCTAGTAACTTCACCTCTGGTCCCCTGACCCCGCCTCCTCCTCAGAACCCTGGAAAGTGAGTGACCTAGATGATCTTCATGTTTTTCCCACGCTAAATAAATAATAAGGCTACTTCACCTACATAGAGAGGCTGAATTACAGTGATTGAGCCAAGTTGGATGTTCCAGCGAGAAATTAACATTGATATTTCTTAATTTAGTACGTAAAAAGGGAATATGATTACATTCTTTCTTCTGTGCGACTGTGTGATGTACCACAATTATTCATCCCACTAACTTGTTTAAGGCTAATTGGGCATCAATTTAATAAATGTTTGAAGTGTGCCTCTGGGCTATACACCATGGTGGACAGTGAGAGTGCTCAGTCACTGGTTTCAGAATCTGCCTGCAAGGAGCTCACCACCTAGTCAGGGAGGAAGGCACGAAAACTGATAAATCACAGATCGGGTGTGCTAAGTAGAACAAGGCAAGTACACAGAAGATGCAGAGGTACCACTGGGGGAGATATATATATATTTCTCTGTATCTATTTTGAATTCTATAAATAGGAAAATATGTGTGTGAGGGGGTAGCTAAGGTTTTTTTTTTAAACCTGTTTGTCTGTTTACTACTGAATCAAGTATGTCCCCCCATAATATTAGTTGCCATAAACTGCAATCAAATGAGTCATCATATGGGAGGTTGAAAGAAGCCAGAATGTTCTCTTTCTTTTCTTAGATAAATGACTTTCCTTTTCAATGTCCTCCAACCTCACCCTTAAACCTCTCTTTACTAGCAACTGGCACTTCTGCCGTTGAACAACAAAAAAGAACACCTAAATGAGTCAAGTAGTCATTATAAACCAAGTGCTATAGCCTAGAATGTCTTCAGGTTCTCTTTAAAATTTAGAAAATAGGGAGAAATGAGATCTCTGAAAAATACTGGTGTGTCTTAGCGTAATTAATTTTTATGGAATGGTATATCTACAGGGTTACAATTTTCCTGGTGATTCGCAGCAATCTTGAACTCACATCGCGGAATTGTAAAGCGTCTAAGCTCGGGGTGTTACATCTCGCACTGACTCTGAAAGCCGACTGTCACCCGCACAGCAGGGGTGGGGAGCTCCACGGATTCCTCATAAAAACTTGGCCTGAGCTAATTTGTTTTGTTTGAAACTGGAAATGGTATTGTCGAAGTTTGCGTTCTGTTTGCTTTCAATAGGTGTGTCCGCACAAAGCACCGTGTTTCTAAAGGCCTCCTCCTTTCTGCAGGAATAAATTTGGCTCCTGAAGAAGAAAAAGAATTGCAACAGCAATTCAGCAACATCGCACCTCTTTCATTATTTCGGGGATGCAGGCTTCTGCTCAGCTGCTCCAGACATATTTTCTGGAAACACGTAAAAACATGCCCATAAGTACTGAACATAAAACCCTACAGTACACTCATAACCGTTTGTACAACCTTGTGGTCCACTTACCATTGACTTTCTTAGAGCTGTGTGCATATTTTAAAAATCATTAGAAAAAATGAAAATTGGAACAAGATGCTATTTGAGAGAAGGTGCTCCCCAGAGTTGCCTGAGGAACACTGCTCCATGCCTTTCCTCTGTGAAGTGAGCAAGACTCTCGCCCATAAAAGAGACAGAAGCTGTGCTTTCCAGATAGCGCCTGTCCCAAGAAATTAGATTAAGATGGAAACAACAGAGTATTCACTTTTTTAAAAAAATGTTTTAACCACCTAAACCAAGTACTGAAAAAGCATGCTTCTTAAAGAGGCATGGAATAGCTGAAAAGTTAATGGCCAGACCCATTGGATTGTGTTTTGGAAAACGTCACACTATTAAGACTCGTGGTGCTTCAGGGCCATGGCCAGGGAGTCCGAAGATAAGAGAGAACAGAAAGTGGTGAGAGAGAGAGCTTTATCAGTTCAGGCATGCTCTAGAAAGCTACTGGATGGTCTGAGAATAGCTCATGAAACATAAAATCCCAAGGCAACTGTAATCTGTATGTGAGGAAAAGGTTACTCTTAAAAAATAGTTGCATTCTTGGAAAATGTATTATCCTTCAGCTTTTGACCTTTTTTTCTTTTCAGGTTGAAAAAGTTAAGCATGATTCATATACTAAGGATTTCCATTCTTTGCTTAGTATTTCTTTAAAACTGCATTCTAACCATGACTGTTTCTCTCTCCTCTCTGTTTTGGTTCCTGTGCCTGCTCTGCCCCAGGTTGGCCTTCATTCCATGACGTGATCAGTTCAGATGCAATCACATTCACAGATGACTTTTCCTACGGGATGCACAGGGTGGAAACAAGCTGCTCCCAGGTCAGTTAACCCAACCCCAAAACCCAATGTGTCACTCACTCTGCCTTGAAAACATCTTCATGACTCCTAGTTGTGCTAAATATAGCAGCAAAAGCCACATGACTGACCACAAGCACAATGAAGTCTCCATAGAATTCTAATGATATCTGAGTGTTCAGGTGGTTAGCATGTCCAGTTAAATGTCAGTCATTGGCTTCAACACTCTTTAACAAAATCCTTGGTAGGGAAATTCATCTTCAGTTGACGCGATACAGCAGGCAGTGGGCTCTTCTTAGGGGTGCGCGTATTTCATTACATGGCCTTACGTCATCTCATGTCTAGATAATCCCCCTCTCCCTGCAGTTCTGTGTGCCCCTTGCTCAGTGATGATACTTTTAACGGTCATGATCCAAACACGGTCACCAAAGACCTAAGAAACAGCCTTCCTTGGGTGCGTGTGAGGAGGGAGGTTGGAGAATGGCCTTGGGAAGAGGAAGTTCAGTGGTCGCTGCGTGAAGGCAGAGTGGGAATACGCAATAAGGTAATTCCTTCTCCACTTCTCCTGGTCTGTAGACCTATCCTCATTTCCAAAGATGTTCTGTTTCCTTCCTTCCACCCTGCTCTAACCAACGTAGTGCTGGCTCTGAGGGAGAAAATGAGCGTGTGTTGAGGAGGAGGCCAAAATTGCTAATCTGTCATCCCAAGCAAGAGAGTTGAACTTGTGGGTGTTTTGTGCTCAGAGCCAGAGGCATGACCAGAACGTTCTTGTGCACAGAATAAGAACAACTGCATACTCTCTTCTAGTATCTACTAGATAGGACTATCTACTAGAGTAGGTAGTCCTGTTCTCATCTTGCTTTAGGTAGTGAGATGATAGTCTGAGTATTGTGACGCTGAAATTCATTGATACCGGGGTATTTGGGTGGGGGAGGTCTGTTGCACATATCAGAGGTAAAGGGGGTACAGTCGGGCACCTGGAATAGGGAAGTGATGGCCATGTGGGACTCCCTCAGCGTTCTTTACCCGCCCTGTCTCCCCCTTCATCGGGCGGGAGAGTTTTAGGGAGTAGGTGGCATATTTACTACCAAGTAGGGAGGGAGATTGGTTTGAACCCAACCATCTCATGAATTTCTGTTTACATTTTTTTTAAAAAGAAATAAGGCTAGCAAGTTTACTGTCTTCTAAGTATGAGGACCACTCTCTTCCTTCATATTTTATCTAAGTCACATTTTCACTTTACTCTTGTTTCTCAGATATGAGTCTCTGAGCAAGATAGTGGCACTTTCTGATTCTGAGTCTCACCCCTACAGATTCTGATTTCATTGGTCTGGGTGAGGCCAACATCAGCGTTTTTAAAAGCGCCCCTGGTTAATGCTCACAATAACCGTATGAGGTGGATTACCGTAGACACTGTATGATGGTGGTGTTCTCTCTCATTGTACAGTTGAGGAAACAGGCTTAATGAGGGCAGTTACACTTGTGTAAATTTATGTAGTTTTAAGTGGCAGAACTGAGACTTGAATCTGGGCATTTAGCTCCAGAACTCTTTATGGGGCTCATATAGATAAATTGATGGGTGGTTAGATGGATGGATGAATGGATGGATGGATGATGGATGGACGGATAGATAGGTCAGTAGATAGATAGATAGACAGACAAATGCACCATAAAGAATCACATTGAAATTAGAAAAGGTCAGTAGATAGATAGATAGACAGACAAATGCACCATAAAGAATCACATTGAAATTAGAAAAAAAAAATCCCTGATTCCCCAGCAATTAGTTTAATTCAGTTCAGTTTTGAATTCAATTGAATTTTAATTGATATTTTTACAACTTCCACAAAAACAAATTGTGACTATCTACTTAGGAATCTAAAATATTCGACAAAAAAGTAACTGGGTAGGATGGTAGTAATTTGTAAGTTGGTACATAGCACTTAGTACACCTCTTTTAAGGCTAACAGCTGTTTTTTTCTTTCTTTTTTTTAAACTGACTTAAAGGCTGTTATATGACTGCTACTCTCCTTTTGACACAGAACCCACTTTCAAACATAGAGTCCTATGAAAACCAAATAAAAAAGGCACAGGAAAAGTGAGGTATGAGATAATAACTTTCCATATGGCCCTACTCTCTGATGTCTTTGTGACTAATTCTTAAAATTCACAGTTGGAATAAACTGCCTCCTTTCTCTGTGGCAGCCACGGAGATAACATCATTAGTGGTCAAGAAAAGACCATTATGAAGGTGTCCTATAGTGATCAAAGAGAAATAAAACCACAAACTGAGCCAAAATTAGGCAACATTACTAAGAGAGATTGAGCTAACCTGGGCCTAGCCCTCAGCCCTTTGGTTAAAGGCCTAGCTGAGTGTTGCTGTTCTTTGGGTCCTTCCTAAAAGCTGGGTGAAGAACTGACACTGACCTGTTTGTCTTCGACTTCTTTTTCCACCACCTTTACTTCTCATGTTTAGAAAGCGTTTGACTCTTTCTTAAATAAAAGTCTTAAAGAAAGTTGGGGGCTGGCCCTGTGGCTAAGTGGTTAAGTTTGTGTGCTCTGCTTTGGCGGCCCAGCGTTTCACCTGTTTAGGTCCTGGGCCCAGACCTAGCACTACTCATCAAGCCATGCTGGGGTGGCATCCCACAGAGCAGGGCCAGAAGGACCTACAACTGGAATATACAACTATGTACCAGGGGGGCTTTGAGGAGAAGAAGAAAAAAAAATGATTGGCAACAGATGTTAGCTCAGGGCTAATCTTTAACAAAAAAAAAAAAAAGAGAGAGAGAGAAGAGGGAGGGGAATTTGTTCCATTAAGGCATGTGTAAAAATACATGCTTTGCAAAGTAAGTTCCACGTAGAAAATAATTGGGTTCCAGCCCTAAAGAATGATACATTTGCTGGATTCTTCCCCATGTGGACAGAGCAAGGGATGTCTGCCACACAAATGCAATGAGTTCACGAAATTAAAGTGTGCTCAATGTCTTTCATTTCAATTTCTTTGTCTTTTGTTTTACATTTTTCTTCAGTTTTCTCTTCCATTTTCTCATTCATCCTTTTTATCTTGACTTGAAGAAAAAAATCACTGATTTAATGGTTTCCATACTAGAGTAACCACTTGACTTTTACTCCCAAGTTCCTCATTCTCAGCACTTTTTTGTTATCAGATTATCTCTTTTACTTTCTGTTCTTTCAGTTTATGTGTTCTCTTCCCCTGCTCGCAGCTTCTCCCATCTTTTTTTTCCTTTTTGATGGTGATAGTGTGGGAAACTTCTCTGATTTGCTTCTCCTCTTTCTAAAATTCTTGTATTTTGAGTTCGCATGGCTTGTCTTTTCTCTGGACTGAATTGCATCAATATGGCTGTGTTATGAATAATCTGTTAGATGCTTTCAGTATCTCACAGACACTCTCAGTTGGACATGTTGTGTGGAGTATTTCTTTCCTTGTAGTAGAGATGGGGTGTCTACACCCGAAGACCCTTTTACTGCCGACTTGCACAAGTTACCTGAACTCCATAGATGAAACCGGTAGACTCAACTTGCTTGCCTGGCAACATGGTGATATTTTTTGGCCTATTGGCCCCTAATTCTTGCTTTAGTACTTAGGATTCTTCTTCTACTTTTTTTTTTTTTTTTTTAATCATGATATGGGATCACACCATGCAGTGAATTAGGCCTCATATCTGGGTAGGAATTATAAACACGTTGGGAGCCGTGACCTACCATCTCTTTACACTACATTGTAGTTTTTCCATGTGTCCGGTGACTTCTTAGGTAATAATATTTTTGTAAAATTTATTGGGAAAGTTAAGATTGACTCAGTACCATCATCACTTTTCAGAGAAATATCCCAGTCAGGTCCTTCTAAGAGGATTGCTGTGTGGGAGACCGAGCACCCCGCCTGATCATTAACTTGACAGCACAGAAAACAAGCCCAGAGGTGGCCTCCTCCATTGCCCTGGTCAGGATTCCTGCTTGTGGAGGGGGTAGGTTACCCCATTACATTCTCAGTTTTGTTGCCACCATATTTGTTTTCTTTTACTATTCTGCTTACTGAATTGAGGAGTTATATTCCCGTTATCCCTTCCAAAGAAAATCTTGATCTTAAATTTGCCCACTTTGGTGGGAACCCGTATCTTCCCCCGGCTGTAGCCATTTCCTAACAATTTTCAATTATAAGAATTTTCCTTAATTTTATTAAATTTACATTTTTCTGCTAGTGATAAAATACATTGCTCCTATTCCAGTTTCGCTGACTACTGTGAATAGTTGTTTGCCAGCTTCTCCCTAATCCTCCAACCCCAGCCTGTTAAGCAATGCTCTATCACGAGTTTAAATTCAGTGCAAAGAGGTTAGATTTGCATGGTTTAAGCTGCAGTTCAACATAGTAAGTCCCTCCTGGAAATACTTGGGGAATTCTTCCGTCTTTAGATCAAACTTGTACATCTGCAGCGAATGGGAGACCAATAAATCACTTAGCTTTTTGTAATAATCTTTGAGGAAACCATCAGGTCCCTGAGTTTACCCGAGTTGGAGTCTATTTATGACTGCTGCTATTACTGCTTGAGTCTATGATAGATCCCTTAAGTTTGTTTTAGATCATTGTTAATTTGTTCTAAGTCAGCCAAATCAACAGAAAGGTAAATATCTACCAACACGGAGTATTTTTCAAAAGTTGAGCAGTTTTTGGTGGAACCCCCCAAACCTTATTAATCTTTTGCAGATGACAACTCATATATTGCCTATGATTAAAGATACCCATGTGTTACAATAGGGTTTCAGACTCACAGCCCATCTCTCTTTTTCTTGATCTTTCAGTAAAATCATAATGCTAAACTGGTGACTTCACAATCATTTCCTTAGCAAAAGATTAATATCACAGGCACAGAGGAAAAGAGCCGTACTTACCCACAAGTGTCTTCAATAACGGTGGGAGAACACAGGATACTACTGGCAAAGTAAATTGCTTTCCTTCTTGAAACTCTTTCCTCCTTCCCATCCTGCCCCATGTGCCCGAGTGTAGAAGACCTGCTTTGAAACGGCTTCATCTTGTAGATCAAAGGCTTAAGAGAAAATGACAATAATAGAGCCCCAAACATCCTAGGAATAGCTGGGGGAAAACCCTCTAGGACAGTTGGAAATACATCAGTGCAGAACTATGTGACTGCGTTGAATGCGCTATTTGTATTTCTTATGCACATGATGGAGAATTGCAGGCAGATTTTAAGGAATTGGGTTAAATTTGATGCTCCATCACTTTTTGTGTTTGTGTCGGGGGGTGGGGGTGTGTCTTTCGTTTCTCTCTGCAGGTTCTTTAGGTGCCAGCTTTTCTGAGTGAGGGGCTAAGGTGATAAAGGACTCTTGTGGTAATTTTTAAATTTTCTTTTGAACCCTTATCTCAGGCTTTTTCAGGATGAGAGCTAGAATGTTTAGTTATCGTTTGTATTCTACCTGTAAAACAAAGAAATACATAACCGTTTTAAAACAACTTTCCAAATGCGCACCAAAGAGTCGGCCCTGAAATAAATCATTAACAGCGGGTTCCAGAGATTTCTTCATTGGGCAACCAGTTTGTTTCAGTTACAACCAGGTGTGCTGAGAGATCCCAACACATTGCCAGTTGGCTGGGGCTGAGGAGGCAGAGCTCGCAGGCGGCTAAAGAAACAGTGCATCACTGACAACTTCCATTCATCATCCCAGCCCCCGGCCATGGGTAGGAGCTGGAAAGAATGGGCTCCATGTGCGTTCCCCGCAGGGAGGAGCCTCAGGCCTCCTGCACTTTTGAAAGAAACTGGGCAGTAGTCTTTTATGGGAGACCGGGTGTCCCTGGGAGGGAGCAGAAATGGCGCTGTGTGGTTGGGCTTCCGTCAGACAAATGGCCTTGCAGCTTCGCGGGCAGTGGGGCGGCCATGTTTGCGGTGGCACAGGTTTAAATGAGCGCCTTGCTGTGTTTGGAAGTGTTGCCCCTCCCTCGGTCGTCCGAGCCTGGCGTGAAGCTTCCACAACACCTGAGACAAGGGTGGCGAAGCTGTCACTGTCGTTTTTCGGGGACTCACACCTTTTCTGAGGATTTCCCCACCCCATCCCCAACCCAGACAGTTGTTTGCAAATGATTTTTGTTGCCTTTTCCGAACTGTAATTTCTCTTCGTACCCCCCCCCCCTTCTTTTTTGTTTTGCCTGGATTAGGAACATCTAGAATCTGTGTTTTCCTTTCTGTTTAACCAAAAGGCTAGTTCCAGATTTAGCAAATGAAACTGTAGACCGATAACCAACTCAATACAACACATTAAATTACTCTAATTTGGACTTTAGAAAAATGATCTGGGAAATGAAGACCACGTAAATACTCCTAAATGGCTTCAAGTATCTCCTGACTGTGCTTTCTTTGGGAGTAAGGTAAATAGAACTGTTTTCTAAAGATGTCTGAGAGACGATTAATAAAGGCAGTATCATTTATTTTGCCCACATAGCTGTATTCTCTCATTAAAACAAAACAAATCAAAACAAAACCTATCTGAGGCTTTGATGTGAGAACTCCACCTCTCACATGCCAGGTGGTGAAGTGCCAGGGTTGCGTGAGAGAACAATGCTTGTGCACACCCGCTGTTCACGGAGAGCGCTGGTTCACATTGGCCTACGCACCCACTCTATTGGCGGGCAGCAAGAGGTGTTTTCCTGGGTCCACTGGGTAAGCATATGTAATTTTACTGGCGCATCTTAGCTGCTGATGCCTGAAAATTTGGCCTCAAATGTTTATAGAAAGAAAAAGCAATCTGAGCTGTCAGCCTTGATATTACCTAAACCTGCATAGAATGTGGTAAAATAATGCAAGATTTGTTTTTTAGGCCTGTTTCATATTTTCCAGGCAATAGATCAAATCAGTTCAGGGTTCATTTTTAGTTCTTTAATAAGCTGACACAGTATGTTGGCAGTAAAGTAAGAATGCACTTTTAACATGGAAGTGCCATATAGTCAAAGTTGCTATTTGTGCTATTTATTAATAACTAGAGAACCCTCAAGAATTGAGTTTAGCACTTTCAGTGGGGAAACAGATTCTAGTTCTTTCCATTATAATGAGCATAGTCCCTCACTTCTTTCTTGTCATCTCTGTTTGGTATCTTAACCCCGTCCCTTTATTAATTCCTACTCTCTTTCCCTGCAGTTTATAAGTGTTTTTTACACTAAACAAGCACAGTGAGAGGAATTAATAAATCATCTATATGCCTCTTCTCTCATGCTCATTTTTATTTTTCTAAAGATTGGCACCTGAGCTACATCTGTTGCCAATCTTCTTTTTTTTCTTCTTCTCCCCAAAGCCTCCCCAGTATATAGTCGTATATTCCAGTTGTGGCATGTGGGACGCCGCCTCAGCATGGCCTGATGAGTGGCGCCATGTCCGCACCCAGGATCCGAACCGGCCAAACCCTCAGCCGCCGAAGTGGAGCGCGTGAACTTAACCACTTGGCCACGGGGCTGGCCCCTGTTCCCTAAATCTTGACTCTTCTTCTTGGCTCGAAATGCTCTCCCCGGATATCCACACCTTCACTTCCTTCAGGTTCTTATTCCTAAGTCATCCCAGGAAAGCCACCCTGACACCGTTCCTATAGTCAGCCCCCAGCCCTGACGCTCCAGACCACTTCCTCTCATTTTCCTCCTTAGCATTCATCTCCACCCACCATCCTTTCCAGTTCCCTTCTTTCCTGTGTATTATCTGCCTCTGTCGCAAGAATGTGCGCTCCATGAGGCCAGGGTCTGTGGCCTGTGTCTCCAGGGTCTGGGGCATTGCCTGGCGTGTAGCAGGAGCTCCCTAAATAGGCGCTAAATGAGTGAATGAAGTCATTTGCTCGAGGCTTTGGTTTCTTTGTTTCATGACGAATGATGCGTTTTCACAGCCTGTTCGAATGTGGTGCACTAACGTCCCCACATCCTTCACCCCTGTCCCTGCTGAGAAAGGGAGGGAGATCCGTGTGATGGCAGCTGTCGGCTCCTGGAGTGGACCCCGCGTCAGAGCTGTACTTAGTGCAGGGCGTGTTCAGTGAGCCAGCCTTTTTGGAGACACTGTCTCTGACTGGATTTCACTTACACACCGTCATAACCAACCAGACCTCCTCCTGCCTCTGCATTCTGGGCCTCTTCTCCTTCCCCAGCCTTTTGGATAGTCAGTAGCATAGATTTGAGCTAAGCAGCTTATTCCTTCTCCGCATAATATAGTTCACGTGGGTACAGAAGCCAGCATGGCACTCCACCTATTGGAAGCCAGAAAAAAATGACCAACAACCGGGTGGACTAGCGAGTTTCCATTCAGCACACTTGCAGTCCTGGTGACCGTGACATAAATCTGTTGAGCCTTGCCATCGCTTTGCCGGATTCCAAGAACATCCAGCGCTTGTCTGATGTTAAGTTTTACTGCCCATGAAAGCAAACATCACCTCCGTCACGGCCAGTTAAACAGTATCTTTTACAGTGGACTTCTGCATATCTGAAACCCACCCGTCCAAAGCCAGAAGTAATGCCAAGGGGGAGAGATTTTATGCTGCCATGTTTCTTACAAGGGGAGATCAAGGGTCAACTCAATTCATAAAATTACTGCAGTTGTTTTTCAGCTGGCTGAGAGACTTCACAGATCAAAAAATACAGTGGCTCCTAAATGATTTCTGATACGCACAATTCTAGCGTTTTTTATTCTCAGCATGTAGTGCAAAGCCTGCCAGAAACCATCTTTGCAGCTATTGACAGGCGGATTAGAAATCATCCACGATGGTTTCCGTCATTCCCCTCCAGGCTGGTCATCCATTTAAACGGCTTAATGTGCGTTCCTCTCAAAGCCTGCTTTGTACGTGCTCTTCCCTCACATCTCGCTCTTCTCTTGCAGTGCGGTGCTCACCTTGGGCACATTTTTGATGACGGCCCTCGTCCAACCGGCAAAAGATACTGCATCAACTCGGCTTCCCTGTCCTTCACACCTGCGGACGGCCTCGGCGCTGGGGGCAGCGGGGCGGGCAGCGAGGGCCGGGCGGACAAGGCGGAGCTGTAGAGGGCGGGCGGGCGGTGGACAAGTGTACTTAACGCACAGCTTATTACAAAATCAGAGTTGTCTATTGTAGATATATTTTTTCAAAAAGTATAAGGGCAGTTTTGTGCTATGGATATTTTTCTTCTTTTGCTTAAACAGAGGCCCTGACCATCAATGTATTTTGCTATCGATTAGATCTGGAAGTGTTTACAACTTTAGCGAACAGAGAGAGTTTTGCACAACTTCTTCACAAGCCACTTAGGCACCATTTGGGATTATTTTCTTTGAGCACATAGCTTCTTTTAAGATTTTTTTTTTCCCCTTGCTTAAGAGGCAGACGGTGCTTGGGCTTCACACTTGACAATCAAGATCTCCCAGGCGGGGCAGAGACCGGAGCTCGGAAGCACCGGGCACGCAGACCTGCGAGCCACATGGCCCGGAGGCTGCACTGGCACGGATCTACCTAAGATAAGGACGGGGTGATGTCTTAGGAGACTTCTCAGCCCTGTGGAAAGTTTGAGCTAAGGTCGTTTCTTCTCTCTAAAAGGGTGTGAAGGCCTAAAGTCTTTCCTTGTGTTAAATTGTTGCCAGACCTGAGGGGGCGCACTGCGCGTTATGGCAGAGAAGTAAACATTTACCTCATGGTCAGGCCTTTCTTTTATTTTATTTTCCATTGAAAACATTGGAATGTAAGACAACTGTAAAATCTTGAGCCCCATTTTGTCCACAGTTCACAAAGCACACCTGCCATTGCCTTTCGCAAGTCCGTCCCCCTCGCACCTAATACTAGCGGCAGCTGGAAGGGCATTTGGGTGAATTCCACTGTCTAAAATAAAACATCAGGGCAGCACGCTTCATCAAGGCAGCAGAAATAAGAGAGAGCAGAGAAGACCAAGGAGGGGGTCCTGGGAACTAAAATACCAGGGCCGGGCGGCAGAGCTGGCAAGATACTGCAAGTGACAGACAGAGCCCCAAGCGAGGGACCTCGGCACAAGTTCAGGCGACCTCTGGAAGGATGTTGGGGGTTAAAATAGAAATAGCCAGGAGCTCCAGTCCCACCCTTGACCCTAATCTGCTGTGTGACAAGCCATTTAGCCTCTCCATGCCTGTTCTTCGTGTATAAACTGGGACTTAGAATCTTTGTAAAATAATTGACACTCTCAGGGCAAAATTACTCCATTGCTATACAGTAAAGATCAGTGTGGTAAAATTAAACTGATCTGGTTCTAATTGCCTCAAAGGCTGAAGCCCAGGCATTTGAAATGGAAAGAAGCAGAGAGGGGGTTGACTTAGCTGATTGGTATGGAAACAGTTGGGCCAGGAGCCAGAAAGTTTTCTTTGTAGCAGTATGGCTGGTTTTACTCTGAGAAGCTCTGCTTGCTTGCTGTATAACATTCAGTCTGGTGGAATGGATGTCATTGTGCACAATCCGGGTTTCACGGGTATGACCGATGGTGATTTCAGTTGACATTGCCATAGCCAGGTGTGAAGGTGCAGCTTATGACTGATATAGCTTGTGTTTGTAGCTTGAATGGTAATCCTGAAATGTAGTTTAAAAAAAATATTGCTTTTGTTAATCTTTGAGAGCTTATAAAAACTGGCATCTTTTCTTATTAGCACCAAGACAAAAATAAGAAAGAAGGACACTTGACAATTTTAAAGAAATAATGAGAAATGAACATGAAAAGTGGTGACAAATCCAAACGTCAACGTGGTCATGTCCACATTCTTCTGTGTCTCTACAAACGCTTCCTGGTGGAGCCTTGACATCCCGGTGACTCTTCATTGTCACATATGCTACAATTTTGAGATTCCAGATCAGTTATGTTGTTCTTCCCTCAGCTCCCAGGATGTTCCACCTCAGCCCGGGGGTCCCTCTGAAATTCGCAGGTTCCGCTCCCCTCTAGAAATGAGACGCAAAATTTAAGACCGTTGAAGCCTCAGCATCGAGACCATCCCAGCAGCCTTTCCTGACCTCGCAGAGGGAGCCCCAACATTTCCTAGTAACCCAAGGATCCCATGTGGGATCAACTAAAGAAGGGGGTGTCCCAGGAATTCCTGTCACAGTGTGCAGTCTGTCCTTGAGGACACACACAGCACTTCTCACATGCTCCAGCTGCGTATGGTGGCCTGCCCCAGGGTCCGTTGGACACAAGCCACAGTGTTGGGGCAGACAAGGAAGATAAATGACGGGCTTCTTCCCTCTCCCCAGAGATGCTGGGTTCTCATCGTTCCTTCATTTTTGTTGTAAGGCTTAACATTTCCCTGAAAAAACCCTTTTCTAATCCTCACTCTTTGTTTCAAGCCGGTTTTTCTTCTATCACATTTTCCAGCATCAACTTTAAGAAAAATGCAACATCCACTGAAAAAAAAGACAGTGAGTGTATGCATGTGGTTTAATTCCAGGTTGCTTTTGAGTTTAAGTGGTATCAAATTTCAGTATATTTCTGTCTTATGTTAAAGAAATATATTACTAAAACGTCAGCGAGCAATAATGTCAGCTGTCGAGCACTAGATTTATTTTTGCAGGATATGGAGTGCAATGAACTGAGTCAATATGGCGAGGTGTATGTGATCTGAGGGAGTGATGCCATTTACCGTAGGAAATGCATGGGACTTGCCCCTCTGTGCTCCAGCCTGACTGCCCCGTTAGGAGATGCAGATTTCTGCTGGTGTGTGGAAAGTCCGGCCATACGGTCGTGAGAACGGATCTGAAGAAAGCAGCAGTGTGTGTTGTTAGAGAACATTTCTATGTGTTTCAACTTTTCACTTCTTAGATGCATTTAAATTTTTAATGCAAATGACACAGCAATTTAAAAGCCGCTCCATGATCATTGAATTGAAAATGTCTTGCTTTAAATATGGCATATGACGAAAGGGACTATCGTTGGTTCTGAAGGTCAAATATTATTTTTGCCTTAGACAGCTTTGTAATAATTTTTCTCCAAACAAGTCAAAACTTTTGAAAAATGACATGAAATTTTCATTAAAAAACCCTTTTCCTATGTTTATTGTATACAGAAATTATGCAATAAAATTTCTTTATAAAAATCTTTTCTCTGATATCTGAAGACTCCTCTTATTTTTAGCTCAGATACACGAATTGTCCATTAGAGTTGGCCGTGGTCTGCTCTGTTCACCTCCTTACCCAGCTGACACACCTCTCATCTGATGTGACCTTTGCAAGCTGGGGCTCTGACAGTAGGGTCGAGTCCAACTCTCCATACCCCAGGCCCCGGGAAAGGCCTCGGGGATCCCAAAGATTCCAGGAGAGGGAAACATTTGCAGAGTTACTCAACCTTCACCTCACCTCAGCAAAACCTTCAGCAGCTTGTATATGTTTTTTGTGCTTAAACTTTAGGACCTTATGATAACTCCATGGATAAAAATGGAGGAATGATACCATGCTGACGCCTAGGCTTCTGTTAAAGAATTTGACAGGAAACTTACACTGTTGTCAAGGGTTGGTCTCTAGGGAAGTAGGTTGGGAGTTCCCCACTGCTCACAAATGAATTCACCTTTAGAAGTCATCTCTGTGGAAGAGTTTCGGTATAGTAGTATTTGTCACTGAAATTTTTTATTTTAATTTTTTGGTTTGTGCTGTTGTTTATTTGGGGGAGGAAAAGCGAGGTGATGAGGACTTTTGTTTTTCAGCCAGTTCTTTAAGTCATGTTCCTGGGATCCTAAAATTCACAGCCCAGCAATTTCATGCGGTGTCCCTTAGAACAGCGCTTCTCAAAGCGTGGTCCCAGACTGCAGCGTTGGCCTCACCTGGGGACTTGCTGCAAGTCCAGATTTTCAGGACCTCACCCAGACTCACTGCAATAGAAATCTGGGGGGGTGGTGGGTGGGGTCTTAGCAATCTGTGCTTTAGCAAGCTCTCCATGGGATTCTGCTGCTTGTTCAAGTTTCAGAACCACTGCCTTGGAACTTTTAGTGAGAAAACTTCAGTTAGTATTAATTTTAAAAGCAATTCTATATGACTCTCAAAAATGGTTTTTATGGTCATCACTGGTGTCTTTCTTTCGAGATAGATCAACCAGTTTTCGCCAAGCTTCATGCCTTCCAGCTGATCTTGCCCCCCACTGTCCGTCTGTCTTGTTCTGGAGGTGTAGCCTGTCCTCATCGGCCAGCACCGCCTGAACTCCTGTTGGCATTTCTTGGTTGAACCTGGAGTGCCCCTTGGTGCTCGCCAGGCCTCTCGAGAACTGCAGCGTGTCCATAGGATTCAGCTCAGCAGTTCCGAGAAGTCGAGAACAGATCTTGGTGCATAAATTTACGCACGACCTTTCCCATCTCTTCCCTCTCCTCCTACCTGTACCTTCATCATCATCATGGTTTTTTTTTTTTTTTTTTTGAAACCATCGAGAGATTTTTGCAAAGCTGCCAGGTACCTGAATTGTGACTCTTTTTTTTGGTGAGAAAACTGTTGTCATTACCCCGATCTGAACAATGAAATAAATGACTTCTAGAAGATGCTGGCATAGAAAAAAGGTTGAATTAAGAATTCTCTTTGAGGACAGGCTTACAAGTACCCCAGACTGGCTTCTAACCAAAGTTTATTGTGCACTGTATAACTGACAGAATGTCACCATTTGGATGTGGGATCTGAAAAAGTGCCACATGCCATAGAAAGATATTCTGGCAAGAAGTCTTCGCATCCGCTTGCTCCCACAGGCTAGCATTGTTGTGGACCAAGCTGGAAAGGGATTGACCAGAAAATGACTGTAGGTTCTAAACCAGGCAGTCCTGACCCGAAACACTTGGAAGTCTGTCATGCGAGTGAGGGGCTGTTATGGAACCACCGTAGGATGAGGCCATAGTGACCTGAGATTTGGGAACCAAGTCAGATCCCATGGCCCACATGAGATTTTCCCAATTTCCAGGTTGGTTAACTCGTCAGATTGTGGATGCCAGGGAGCCTCCTTCTTATTTTGAAGTTTGTATTTCCTCTCCTCGCAGTGTCTACCAGCACCACTCCCAGCAAACACATCCTGGCCCATATCATCACCTAGGCTGGGCAGGAACCTGGCACATTTTCAGGAACAGGCAGCAGGGAAAGTCAACTAGTAAATATTAGGTGCTTACTCCAGCACTGCACTGAAGGGTAAGGGTGTAGAATGGTGTGGAAATAACTAGAAAGCAGAGTAAGAGAGGTTGTGTGTATTATTAGCACAGGAGAGAGTTGCGAAGGAGAGTGAAGATGTGATGGCCTGAAGCTTTATTCCCAGGGCCTTCTCTCTCACACGGACTTCTTTTTACCTTGATGATATTGTGTATTATGTCATCTCTGTAAGTCAGACACTTGATCCACCACTCTAGTGTGAGGTGGGTGGTCTTATCCCCATTTTACAGATGGTGGAGCTGAAGCTCAGCACAGTTAAGACCAGTCGCGTAGCTAGTAGATGGCCAAATGGAAATCCGAGTTCAAGGGCTTCAGAGGCTGTGCCTCCAGCTGGACACTGAATGCCCTCAGTGTCGACAGTGGCTATTTGGGTGGTGTTCAGTTGCAGGTAGGTTTTACACAAGCAGAAAAATGTGTTCATTACGTTTCTTGTTTATTTCGAATTAATAACAATTTGCCCTTCCAAAATATATTCTGCAGTGTCACTGCCTCATTTCAGAGAGGGCTAATTAAGCATTGTACACCTTGATTTTTCTACACTCCAGTAATGGAGAGTTCCATTTTTTTTCCCTAGGGACTAACTTTAATACTCCTAGTCATTTCTAACTACCACTGAAAAAAAAAAATAAGCCACGTTCTGGATCCATATGGAAAAAAGGAAGAATCGAGGTGATACTAAAGATGAATTTGGTCAGAATATTCCATTTCTGACATAGCTGATCCAGCTAATCTCTCCTCATTTAGAAGGATGTAGAGCCCCCGGGATGGAGATGGGGTGTCCTTACTGATGTCACTAAGTCAGTGAGACGATGCAATCAGAGACTGAAGGAGGGGGACAGATTCCCGAGGGCTCTCACCACACCCAGAGCAGGTCTGCAGGGCATAGGATGGACTTGTCCCAGGAACTGACGGAATAAAGAGGTTTGTTTCTGTTTGATTACAATTCATGACAGATTGATAACTGCAAAGGCATTCAAACTTGGTATTTCACCCCCCTTCCCTTTAACACTACAGCTTGTAAGGCTAGTCAGGCATCTGGTGTTTGTTAGATGGCTGCGTTGCATCATCCTTGTGATTGCTGGGGAACATCTCCTCTATTCGAGCGATTGGAGAGAAGACTATGGGGCACGAATGGCCTCATCCGGTTTACATCTTCATTACTGTGCTTCTCACATACCTGCTTCCATCTGGAAAAAATCTCCAGGTAAACCTCTTGGGCTCTTTTCCTAAAGAGTAACTGTAATTATTAGGGCTATACCCAAATTCAGCTTAGAATAGGTATGTGGCTGAACTTCAGCCAAAATCCTGTGCCTGTCTAAGAGAAATTTTCTTTTTTTATATCCAATTACATAGGAGGGGCCTTTTCCCCACACATGGCCAGTGGGATTCATGGTTCTTTACACCCAAGCCTTCTATTTATGCCCTTAGGGAAAAGGCAAGGAGACTTTAAGGAAGAAACTCAGAGATCTCCTCAAACCTCCACTGTTTTTTTTCTCAGCACCAATTCCCAGGATTCTGATATGTGTTGCAGGTCGTGTCAAAATTTTACAAATGCAGAGTCTCTTCCCAACTAGATACTGTCACAAACTTTACCTTGCCAAGTAACAGTGTCAAAAAAATTGTTACTTCTCCTGTTACCTTCTTCTCCCCCTTGTATGAGGGTCGTCCATTCCACACACATTTATCAAGGGCTTACCAGGGTACCCAGCACTGGGCAAGGCACAGGAAACCCCAAACTGAGTAAGACCCGGCACACGCAGTTAGCTGGAAAAACAGACACACCGCTAATTACACACAATCCTGGAAGGCTGCACAGGGTTACGCAGACGTGTAAACAGAATCTTATGAGAACTCAGTAGGGAGAAGAATGAATTGTACTATATAGGAAACGGATGTAGCAGAGAGGGTCCGGTCAAGGAAGGCTTCCTTCAGAGATGAACCAGAAGCTGAGTTTTGAAGACGGTGTGGCATTTCATATGGACGAGAGCAGAACAAGGTGGTCCAGAGAAGCAAGAGGAAAGGAGGCAGTTAGTAAGGGACTTGCATGGGCTGTGACTGTTCCAAGTATACTTCTGGTCATTTTGATAAGTAGTGGTTTTCTAGGATTGTCTCATGAAAAGATGCTTTTTCATTTGCCTCCCCTCTCCTTTTTAGAACATTTATCGTCAGTAAAAAAAAA